CATTTAGCCTTTCGCACTGCATTTTCCCGCACTTGGCATTTGTATTGATGGTGATTTTTCGATTTTCTAGTAAGTCATGAATGTGACCAGTGTCCTTTGGGATAGATTAATGCATTTCGGTGGTGTTAGCGTATAATTTATGCCAGAAGGATTATACGGTAAATGAATGTATACGGTACTGCCAGTTACTGTAAGGGAAACTCGTACGGTAAATGTATGTGATCGTCATTTTTGTACTGCCATTTTTTTTCTCGCTGTTTGTAATCCATGAACAATAAATACTACGAATAGATCATCAGCGTTATTGTCTATGGATAATAATACTTACTGCCCTAGCAGCGGTTCCGAATATTTCAGTCGCATTCCGAATGCGATACTCTTCAAAATTACACATGCACTCTTGCCCCCTACTTGGGAGAGTCGCCAATGTTGGAAAGTACAGAGATTTTAAAACACGGGTTGGCAACTGGTCCGTGATGGGTTTTAATATGGCCTGCGGAGGGAATCGGAATGTAGTGCCTAATTAGACGAACGGGAGTTCGTATTCCGCCACACCTCTGCACTGTCATGAAAATAAATAAAACTTACATACGCATGACGCTAACAGACGATAATCTGGAAAATACTTTGAAACTCTGTGTATCAGTGATATAAATTCAGATTTTTTCAGCAATCTTGTGTCAAAAGTTCAAGACCAAAGCTCACATTAAACTGCTGTTGCTTTTTTTTACTGGATGAAAAACCTGATGAAAACTTGTTTGCTTTTATGCGCTTTTGCATATTATGCGAATGCAAAATGCATAGTTTTGAAATAATGCTTGTGTGTGTGTGTGCTAAGAAATGAGTGAACTTTGTCACACACTTTTAACTCAGTAACGAGAGGAGCCATTATGCAACACCACTGTCTCAACCAGTGTCTTTTTCCTCGCATGTAAGAAAAGACCAAAACAGGCATATGGGTTGTACACGTTAAACTGTAGAGGAACAACCATTCATACTGTTAACGATCTTAATTCGTTAAGTTTAGTGCAAAAACGCACGGTAGCACAGGCAAGTCTAGCGCGTTGCTACTTGAGCTTTATTAAGAGTGTAAAGGTGAATTCCTCGCCT